AAAATAATGAAAACTGGTTAGATATTGTCAAATATATTAAGGCAATGAGTTGCTGGGCCTGGGGGCTCAGGACTATAGTCTCAGGGGCCACTATGGTCAATTGGCATAACATAGTTCACAAGAACAATGTTCTGTATCCTACTTTGGTGAATAGCATCTGGGATCTTAACAGGTCATGAGCAGCCATCTAAGGTGCAATTATTGTCCTCTCCATAGTCAAAAGAAAGAACAATGATAAGAATTGAAGAGGTTTGGAATCAATTAATCCATTGGACTAATGGAACATGTGAACATCAGTCTCCATGACTCTGAGACCAGAAGAATTAGTGCCTGGCTACCATTACCAACTGCTTTGAAGGTAATCACATTAGAATATTCTGGATAGAGTGAAAGAAAATGTAGAGCAAACCTCAAAATTATTAAAAAAAAAAAAAAGATCGGATTTACTGATCAGAAGGAGAGTGGAGGAACCTGAGCCTATGGCCCTCAATGACTTCAGGTCTTAAAAGGAAATCACCCTTGTGGCCCAATTTTGAGCCAGTCAATAGATAGGTATGTAAGAGGGGCATGCTCACCATGGACTGGTCAATTATTCAAATCCAAACTTCAGCATTTACCTAAGGACAACGTTGAGAAGGGATGGGAAGGTGGGTGGAACACAAGGAAGAAGCAGAATAACTATTGTTGGATGGAGGAGATTGCAATCATTGGGATGAAACCAAGTGTATGATTTGTTGAATGTAAAACTGATGATCTTGTCTGCAAACCTTCACTCACTTTATAATAAAAAGTTAAAAAAATAAAAAAAGATTACTAGGGGACTTCAAATATTTCATGGATAAATGAAATAAAAAGATAATGGAACTTTTTCATTAAATTTTTGAATCCCCTTTTAGGTTATTTGTTTGCTAAGTGGTTGTGAAATAGACAATAGATACACACATGCACACAAGTAAAATTGTGTAAATAAGATGAAAAATATAATGCAAAATGAAAGTGAAAGTAGACATTCATGTCTAAAGGGGAAAAAACACACACATATATTCATATGTCCATTTGGAATATACATTTCTGTAATTTCTAAGTAGAAACTCAGCTTTATTTATTTATTGCAGGATAGTCCATACTTCACTAATGTGAAATGACAAACAGATTTAAAACCAGGCTTTCAAGCAAAATATTTTGCCCCTGACAAAAAAGAACTATCTTAAGTTTTTGTGTTTTTTTTTCCGAGTGTTGCAATCTTAGGTACATCTGGGGGATGGTTGTGATTGTGAACCTCTTGGGAGATCCTGTTCTCATCTCTTCAGGAGTACACAGGCCAGAAAATACTTGAACGACTGAGTTCAGAAAATATGCCTGGCCAATTTTTGGGAAGGTGAGCACTCTCTATGATTTCATTTCAACCAGGTATTCAGGGACATTAGGAAAAAGTCTGAATTCTTAGTAATGAAGTATAGCCAGTTATTTCAGCTACTGTCACATCATCAGGCCACAATGACAGCTGACCAATTTCTCCCTAAAAGTGCTAGTGCATAATTCATTTCATTGAGAAATAACTGGATATTTCATCTTCTCACAAGTTACAAGAGGTGATATTGTATTTTGATAAAAGGGAGTGACTGGTGCAGCTGATAAGAAGAGAGGGCATATACATTAGAATACCCACACTTGCAGATAATACCCACTTAACCTGGCTTCAATGACTGGATGATCAGAGCTCAACTAGAAGAAGAAGAGGGAAAAAAAAGAGTAATCTGATACAATTTGATGAACTTGACCTACACCTATGGATGCAGTAGCTCAAAATAGGAAACAAATCTTTACAGCAAAGATCATTCCCACCCCCTCCATACACAGAGTAGACAGGGATGGGCAACTTGGACATTGGCTACCCAAAATGGGTGGGCTACAAAGGCAAGAAGTGACTGGCTTACAAGCTTTCAAGAGGGAGACTAGATCCAAAGGCTGTGGAGGAAGGTAGAATCTCCACTAAGTAGTATCCAAACTGTCTAGGCAGGGCTGATGAAAGGAAATGCGGATAGGTCTCTTGTGATACAATAGTGAATAACTGTTAACAGGACTGATTGTGAGGGTCAGAAATGTAAAGGTAAACATTTTGTATCAAAGAGGGGAGTGATTAACTTTGCAGTCTAGGAGCGGAGGTCCCTGGGACCATGAAGGGAGAAGAGCGGAGAGCGGGACCCTACCCAGAAAAGCAGTGACACCAGAGATGGATGCAGAGATGATGATGAGGAAAGATGGAGCATCTGGGGACTTTAGACCCAGAGAGGTAGAGGGGCTCTGTGCTGACCACAAGGGGGCAGGCTTGCAGGGTATACCTTTGGTTGGTTGATGATGCATGGAGGGGATTGTAATCATGGCAATGAAATGATATACCATAGGATGAATATAAAGCTAATGTTCTCCCATGTAAACAATCACATAATTCACAATAAAACATAAATAAATAAATAAAATCTGGAAATGGCAACAAAAATAAAAAAGAGAGTGACTGGAAAGTAGGAAACCCAGTTTCCTAGTCCTGACTAGTGTGGTAAATATTTGGGGGATGAATTTAATTTTTTTTTTTTAATTATTTTTTTTCTTATCTGTTGAAAGTACTTCTTGGCTTTCAGCTAGATATGACTGGACTTCTGTAATAATATTTGCTAATTTATGGAGTTCTGGTGGTGCTGTAGGATAAGCGTTGGACTGCTAACTACAATGTCAGCATTTCAAACCCACTAATAGCTTCACAGAAGAAAGAGGAGGCTTTCTGATTTTAAAGATTTACAGTCTTAGAAACTATGCATAGAGTTTGACTTGACAGCATCTAGCAACAACAGTTTGTTAATTTAAAATTAATCTACAGACACATTGGAGCCCTGGGATGTTGCTGTGGGATAATGTGTTGGACTGAAAGATCAGTTTGAACCATTCACCAGCAGCTCTTTGGAAACCCTATACAGGGTCTCTATGAGTGTGAACCGACTTGATGGCACTTAGCAATAACAACTACCACAACAGATACACTGAGCCTTGAAAAGTATTCTTCTAGTTACAGATGAATAAAACACAATTCTGATATTAAGGAGCTTGTTAAAGAAAGGTTTTACTTTGTAGGGAGTAATGAAATAGAATGGATGAATGTGACTTGAAATTGGAACACCTACTCTTCCCATTCCAAACTGGAATACAGGTCCTATGATGTACCTCAACTCTATTCTATGATTTATTCTATTAATTCTAGCCAATGTTGAAGACTCTTTTAGAGTTTTGGCTGGGTAGTGTTGACATCCTTTTATAAGTTGCGTCAGTTGTTAGCGCTATTTATGTACATTTTTTTTTTTTTCCAGGAACCTTATTTAGCACTAACTCCCTAGTAGTCTAAAAGCAATCTGAGCAGAAGAGATTTCATAATCTCTATTTTATGCCACCTCTCTTCCTCTTCAATTGTATATAACTCTTTATACTGGTTGTTCACTTAAACTCTTACTCCAGTAATTCATAAATGCTATACACAAGACAAATGAATAAAACAATTGAATGCAGCTAATAATGACTTCAGAATGGTGAGTTTTGACTAGGAGGGAGGAAGAAAAATGGAGGATGAAGCATTCCAGGTCAGAAAACATTTTTATCTAAAGTTCAAGATGAGAATTCACCCTATATGCTGTGGGAAAATAGAAAGGAATGTTTGATAAAAAAAAAAAAAAAAAAAAAATGTTTCTCAAAATTCAAAAAGAAATGAATGGGGTTTTTGGTACTGGGGAAAAATTGTCAAGGGAAAGTAGCTAAGCTAGAGACTGACAAGATTAGGAATATGGAATGAGAAATTCATGGGATGGTAAGACATTAAATTCTGAGAGAGAGCTTTTAAAGTTTTTTTTTTTTTAATTTTCTGACAAGCAAAGGAAGGTAGATGCTGACAACAACATAGTGCACTTATAGGATTTGGACTAACATCAGTGGCCATTGTACAAAATCTCTATTTTTTTTTCCTGGGTCTTAAAAAAAGATCTATACATTTAATTACTGTCCAATAAGAACTGATTGAGAATAACAAAGTTAGAGAAGGCCATTTTCAAAGGTGAAAATATCAAAGCAAAATTATACATATGCTAAATGTGATTATTCTACTTATTGCATGACATAATGGCCTATTGAGCTATCTTTTCAACAAGAATATTAAGGTATCTATCTACCTCAGTGGCAGAGGTGTGATTGTCATGTTCTGTAGAGCAGAGCAAAACAATGAATATAACTCTGGTAATTAATTGTATGTCTGAAGTACTGTATTGTACATCTATTTCAACAATGGAATTTCTTTTTGTTGGAATAAATAAAATGAAAAAAATGATGGTACTTGATAAAGGAACAGAAAGTATTGTGTTCAGTCAAGCAGGGATAAGGGCTGATTGAGAGAAGGAATATGAGGGGCTGCCAAAACTTTGTGAAAAAAAAATGCCATTATCTTTTAATTCCATTTTCCCATGCACTTTTGAAGCCCTCTCCAGCTTTCTTCCTTCAGTGTCTCAATTAGATTCCATTATTTTCCCAAAATATACAGACCATGCCTCCAATTCAGATCATTATTATTCAATCTCTTGTACTAGCTCACTCTAAATTACTCAATCCTCCAGTCAAAAATTAAGGTAATTAAGTGGTGTCACAGTGCTGTTTATATAAATAACCACCTCTCAAAATGGTAACTCTGTTAAGAACAAGTATATTTAGTAATCAGCACATGACCTGCACAGAAAGAAGTTCAGTAAAAGTTTAGAGTTGATGCTGAACCCGAAGTACAGGAGTTCTACATTGAGTCATAATTGGCTTTGTGTTGGGGAGTGTATGTCAATTGGTGAAATCAGGCACAGAGGAGAGTAAGAGTTCCTTGTAATAACATCATAGCAATTGATCACTCACTTGTTACTCAAAACAACAGAAACTCAAGGTGGACTTTTCTAATCCTAGAATAGAGGTGTGACCTTTCCTTGATGTCCCTCCTTGACAAAATGTCTACAGCAGATTTGATGGAAAATCTCAGAGAAGAATTGACCTGTTTCATCTGCTTGGACTATTTCACCAGCCCAGTAACTACTGAGTGTGGGCATAGTTTTTGTCTGGTGTGTCTTCTCAGGAGCTGGGAGGAGCATAACATGCCCTTATCATGTCCTGAGTGCTGGAGGACCTTGGAGATCCCTCACTTCCAGCCCAATGAGCGTTTGGGAAGGCTGGCTGGCATTGGCAAGCAACTCAGGTCCCAAGTGCTGCAGAATGAAGATGAACAAGGCAGCTATGGGAGAATGCTGGCAGCCACTAAGGTGTTTTCTGAAGATGAGCAGAGTGTAAATTCTTTCTCAACTCAGAGTCATGGAATAAACAGAGGGCATCTCTCACATGAGACTGAGGAGTATCACAGAGTAAGACTGACTGCCCAGTATAAAATTCAGATTTTATTCGATTTATCTCTGATATCTCCCATAGATATCATAGATACTTTTATTGGTGGCAGTCATGGGCACCAGACCACAAACTTGCATAGTTCTGGTCATCTTTTTGTTATTCGTCTTCTGCAGCGTTCTGCTCACTTGCCACAGAGAATTTGTTTCTATTGCAGGGGACACTTCAGGAAATCCTAAATACATTGCGTAAAAGGAAAAAGGAAGCTCAGGCTATTTTAACACATGAGAAGGAGAGAGTGATATTGTGTAAGGTTAGTATCTGTCTAATGTTTGGGTCTGGTATATAATTCAATGTTGTTGTTGAATAGACAGTTAGTGAAATATCAGAATTTTGCCCCCTGAAGTATGAAGATCCTTGTTTTGGGCTGTGAACATCCCCTTGTGTATTTAAAAATCTAAAGACTCTTAAATAAATTAAATAAGGCAGACTTAATTTCTTCCTTTGGCACTGGTTTGCAAGATTTCTTTGAATTGCAAGATTGGTGGTTCAAATTCACCAGCCGCTCCTTGGAAACTTATACAGGATTGTGTGAGTCAGAACCGACTCAACAACCCTTAACAACAAAAACTTTACCCATACATTTCTGTGCTATCAATATTATTTATGACTCTGATTTTAATTATTTGAAATATAAGTTACATGCATATGTTGCTGTTAAGTGCTGTCAAGCCAGTTCTAACTCATAGTTAGTTTGTATAGGGTTTTCAAGGAGCATCTGGTGAGTGTGAACTGCTGACTTTGCTGTTCAAACCAACCTTATGGTTGAGTGCTTATCCTACAGTGCCATACCAGGAATCTATATACATATAGATGAAAATAAATTAAAGAGGAATTCCTCAAATGTTTTGGAGAAAAGAAAGTACAATAAAACAAAACTAGATGAAAGATAGGGGGAAATGTGGGTAACATGGTACTTTGAGTTGCTGCACTTGGAAAACTGCTAGAAGTTGTGTCACAAATTTGAATTTGAGCTTCCTAGCCACCAAAACAAAGTACTAAATATTTAATTAGATATTAAAAGAAAAAAGTAACATGTGTGGGCCTGATTCTCCCAATAGATTTTGAGTTCTTAAATGGGAGTATTTGTGATGTATATTTCTATTGGTAGTATGCAATAGAATAGTATCTAGCACTACTTCCATTGGAAAAAAAAAAGTTGAATAATTTAACATAACATTCTGTATTTTTCTCTTTGCCCTGCTTTACTTTTCATCATAATACTGATCATTACCTATCATATTTGTTTACCTTCGGTCTTTCCCACAAGAATAACAGCCTCCTAAGAAAATTGCGTTTTGTTTACTTCTGTATTTATAGCACACACTTTCTAAAGCATATACCTACCTAATGTGGCACTATGGGTTAATGCACCAGACTGCAAAGCCATTTGAACTGCGAGGTCGGCAGTTTAAGATCACCAGCTGCTCCTTGGAAACCCTATACAGGGTCGCTATGGGTCAGAACTGACTCAATGGCACTTAACAACAGCAACAATCAATAGAATGGGAGTGCTGTGGCTCTAAAGGATGATCACTGGACTGAGAACCACAAGACTGGTGGTTCAAGTCTACCAACCACTCTGTGGGAAAAAAATTGAGGGTTTCTGCCCCTGCTAAGATTAATAGTCTCAGAAACCCTATACAGGGTCGTTATGAGTCAAAAGTGACTTGACAGCACTTAATAACAATCAATCAATAGAATATATATATATATAGTGGTGGTATGTTGTGGAGTCAATTCTGACTCATAGCAACCCTGCCTTAGGGTTTCTGAGGCTGTAAATCTTTATGGAAGCAGAAAACCTCATCATTCTTCCATGCAATAACTGGTAATTTTGAACTGCTGACCTTGAGGTGAGCAGCCTGACTTGTAACCACTGCACTACCAGAGCTCTCTCTATATATACATATATATAGAGCATATATATACATATATATGGAGCATATAAATACTTTCTATAAATACATATATTTATACATATGGAGTCCTGGCATGTCACTGTAGGATAATGCTAATGCACTGGACCAAAAGGTTGCTTTGAACTACAAGGGTGGTGGTTCAAACTCACCTAGCACTCCTTGGAAATCCTATACAGGGTCACTATGGGTAGTAACCAAATTGATGGCACTTAACAACAACAATATATACAATATATATATATATATATATATCTCACTATATATCACTTATGTATATAATGTGCCACAATTTAAGATGTGCTTCTGATGAACTCTAGGACTTTGAAATGAATAAAAATGTACAGATGTGGATGTTTCTGTTACTAACTTTATAATATCTTGTATACATGTGTGAACGTGCATATTATGACAGGAAGAGACAAAGAACTGTAAACAGGTTGTTGTATCAGAATATATAAAAATGCATCAGTTCCTGAAGGAAGAGGAACAGCTGCAACTCCAGTTACTAGAAAAGGAGGAAAGAGAGAACTTGAAGAAACTGAAGAACAATGAGCTCCACCTGACCCAACAAATCAGAAGCCTAAGCAAAACGATTGAACAGATAGAGTCCAAGTGTCAGAATTCAAGTTTCGAATCATTTGAGGTGAGAATAAAATTTATGAGAATGTTGGGGAAATTAAAGGAAAATATGTGAAACTCATAGAATTTTCAGTCATAGAAGTACGTTTTTCTTTAGTCAGCTGAAAAACTAAGCTCTGTCTCAAATATAGTTTTCCTAAAGAATTGAAATTTAGATAAAGTCCTGAGGAGGAGAGGATGAACAAAATAGAGGATCACATATTTCAACAAAACCTGATGGTGACCCCAATTTCTTTTGTGTCTGTCTCTCTGCCACCATAGCTTTGTCAAATATTTTGCTAAATTATTAATGAGCATTTACTGTGTGTTGGGCATATTAAATTTATCTTCACAAAGACCTGATGAAGATAAGTGCTATTATGACATTTATAGATGAATATCACATTTAAACTGTGTTGTGTAATATGTTAAATAACATAAACATCTGTTGCAGGAGTTTCTACACTTATACCTTTGTTGTTGTTGCTGTTGTTAAATGCCATTGAGTCATTCCTGACTTGTAGTGACACATGCAGAGCAGAACAAAACACTGCCCGGTCCTGTGGCATCTTCACAGTTGTTATGTGAGGCCATTGTTGCTGCCACTGAGTCAATCCATCTCATTGAGGGGCCTTTCTCTTTTAAACTCTCCATCCACTTTACTAAGCAGGATATCCTCCTCTGGGTCCTGGTCCCTCCTGTACAAAGTATGAGAAACAAGTCTTGACATCCTAATGAGCATTATCGATATGTTTCTTCCAAACAGATTTGTCTGTTCTTCTGACACTCAATGGTATTTTTCACCAACACCATAATTTAAATGTATAGATACTTCTCTGGTGTTTTTCATTCATTGCTCAACTTTCACATGCATATTAGGTGATTGAAAATACCACGATTTTGGTCATATGTACCTTATTACTAAAAATGGCATCTTTTCTCTTCAACACTTTAAAGAGGTCTTTTGCAGCAGATTTGCCTAGTACAATAACATCCTTTGATTTTTTGACTTCTGCTCCCATGAGCACTGATCATGAATCTTAGCAAAATTAAATCTTTAACAACTTTAATCTTTACTCCATTTATTATGATGCTATTTATTGGTCCACTAGTGAAGAATTTTATTTGCTTTACGTTGAGGTGCAATCCATACTGAAGGCTGTAGTCTGATCTTCATCAGTACTTCAAGTTCTCTTTGCTTTCAGCAAGAAAGTTTGTATCATCTGCATATCACAGTTTGTTAATGAGTCTTTCTCCAATCATGATGCCATGCTCTTCATATAATCCAGTTTCTAGATTTAATTGCTCAGCATACATATTGAATAAGTATGGTGAAAGGATATACAACCCTGGCACACATCTTCCCTTATTTTACACCATTCAGTATCCCCTTGTTCTGTTTGAATGACTACCTTTTGATCTATATACATATACATATTCCTCATGAGTTAAGTGTTCTGGAGTACTCATTTTTTGTTATCCACAGTTTTTCAGGACCCGCACAGTCAAATGCTTTTGCATAATCAAAAAAATACAAATAAACATCTTTCTGGTATTCTCTGCTTTTCATCAGTGATGTCCGTCCGTCCCTAGTTCCACATCTCTTCTGAATCTGGCTTGAAATTCTGACAGCTCCCTGTCGATGTACTGCTACAACCAATTTTGAATTATCTTCGGTAAAATTTTACTCATATGTGATATTAATGATATTGTTCAATGATTTCCACATTCCTTTGAGACAACTGTTTTTTGGAATGAGTACAGATATGGATTTCTTTTAATCAACTGTCCAGGTAGCTGTCTTCTAGCACTGCTTCATTATGTTGAAAACAGTTCCATTTGTATTCGATCAATTCCTGGAAACTTGTTTGTCCCCATTGCCTTCAGTGTGTGTTGGACTTCAATACCATTGATTCTTGATTATATGGTACATCTTGAAATATTGATTGAACAACTACCAATTATTTTTCTCACTCCATGCATTCCTTTCATCTTCTTTTGATGTTTCCTGCATCCTTCAATATTTTCCCCATAGAATTTTTCAATATAGCTAGTCAAGGTTTGAATTTTGTAATTAGTTCCTTCAGTTTGATAAATACTGAGCAAGTTCTACCCTTTTGGTTTTATAACTCTAGGTTTTTGGATTATAATACTTGACTTTGTCTTCTTGAGCTGTTCTTTGACATTTTCTGGTCAGTTCTTTTACTTCATCATTTCTTCCATTCGTTTTAGCCACTCTAGATCTGCTAGTTACAATAAAAAAAAAACCTAACTCAATTTTAAGTCCTGGTACATACTTAATAACTGAAGCCTATGCTAGTCAATATTTCAAGATGTACCATATGATTAAAAACCAACGGTATTGAAGTCCAAGCTGCACTGAAGTCATTGGTGAAAAACAAAAATCCAAGAATGAACTGAATACAAATTTAAATGATTCAACAAAATAATGCAATGTTGGAAGAAAGCTGCCTGGAAACAGATAGGAAGAAGTCCATATTCATGTTCCTTTCAAAGAGAAGCAACCCAACAGAATGAGGAAATAATTAAATATCATTAATATCACATAAAAGTAAAATTAATTCTTACAGAACACTGTGCTCAGGAAGAATCTATACATAGAGAAGTAGTCATTAGAGCAGATCAAGGGGGTAATGAATAGTTTAAAATAAGGAAAGGTGTGCATCAGGGTTGTAATCTTTCCACCATACTTACTCAATCTACATACTAAGCAAAGAAACTGAGCAGATGGAATATATAAAGAAGAGCATGGCACCAAGACTGGTGAAAGACTCATTAAAAACCTGGCATATGCAGATGATACAACTTTGCTTCCTGGAATTGAAGAGGACTTAAAATACTTACCAATGAAAATCAAATACCACAGCCTTTAGTATGGATTGTACCTTAATGAAAAGGAAACAAAAACCCTCACAAGTGGACCAATGAATCATGATAAATGGAGAAAAGATTAAAGTTGTCAAAGACTTCAGTTTGCTTGGATTTACAATAAACACCTATGGAAGCAGCATTCAAGAAATAAAATGACATATTGTAGCAGGCAAACTGATGCACAATACCTCGATAAAGTGTTCAAGAGCAAAAATATCTGTTTGAGGAGTCAGATGCACCTGATGCAAGCCATAATATTTCCAAAAGTCTTATATGTATGTGAAAGTTGGACAATGAATAAGAAAGATCATAGAAGAATTGGTGCATTTGAGTTATGGTATTGGAGAAGAATATTGAAATTACCATGGAGTGTCAGAAGAACAAACAAATCTGGCTTGGAAGAAGTATAGTCAGAATGCTCTTTAGAAACCAGGATGGTGAGACTTGGTCTTTCGTACTTCAGAAATGTTATCAAGAGGAACAAGGGGAGAGTCATCAAAAAAGAGGAAAATCCCCAAGAAGATGGAATGGCACAATGGTAGCAGCAATGGGCTCAAGAGTAACAATTGTGAGGATGGCACAGCACCAGAAAGTGCTTGTTCTGTTGGGCATAGATGGTTATGAGTCGTAATTGACTCAATAGTACCTAACGACAATAACATGATACTTAGACAATTTGTCTGTCAAATAGCAAATAGGTGGTAAACTCAGATATTCTATGTCTTGTGTCCATAATTCTTACTGCCTTCACTTTGTTGTTGTTGTTGTTAAGTGCCTTCGAGTCGGTTCCGACCCACAGCGACCCTGTACAGGGTTTCCGAGGGTGTAAATCCTTACGGGAGTAGAAAGCCGCATCTTTCTCCCGCGGAGCGGCTGGTAGTTTCGAACCGCTGACCTTAAGGATCGCAGCCTGATTCGTAACCACTATGCTACCAGAACTCCTTACTTTACTGCCTCGCTAATCTTCTGTATTTTCCAGGACCTTCTTAAATAGAAGTCATGTGAGTCAACTCCAGCTTCAGGTCTGTTTCAGGAGATGGTTTCACAGATGCTGCGATTTAACTTGTTGTTGTTAGGTGCCATGGAGTCGATACCAACCCATAGCGACCTTATGCACAGCAGAACAAAACATTGCCCGATCCTGGGCCAAACTCACTATTGTCGTCACTCTTGAGTCCATCGATGCTGCCATTTGGCCAATCCACCTCATTGGGGGTCTTCTTTTTCTCTGACCCTCCACCTTACCAAATATGATATCCTTCTCCAGTGACTGCTCCCTTCTAACATTATGTCCAAAGTGTGAGAGATGAAGTTTGGCCATCTTGGCCTCTACGAAGCACTCTGGCTGTACTTCTTCCAAAATGGATCTATTGGTTCTTTTGGAAGCCCATGGCACTTTCAATATTCTTCTCCAACACCACAACTCAAAGACATCAATTCTTCTCTGATCTTCTTTATTCACTGTTCAGCTTTTGCATGCATATGAAGTTATTGAAAACACCATGGCTTGGGTCAGGCGCACCTTAGTCCTCAAGCTGACATCTTTGCTCTTCAACACTTTAAAAAGGTCTTGTGCATCAGATTTGCTTAATGAAAT